TGTAATCAAGTGTAGGAACGCGTTAACATTTCTCTCTATACTGACACGTAAATGAACAAACAGGCCATAGCTTGAGTTAGTGAAGGGGAGTAAAATTTCGTCACGTATTTGAGCAATGCCATTCTTTTAACGTGTCCAAGACAAAAAAAATCACGTCTGCATTTGAAGACATGTAGGTATTTTGTTCTATTTATTACTAAAGGCATTTATAGACATTAATATTCACACCACATGATGACTCACATTAATTTACTTTTCAAAATTTTTACTTAAACTGTAATTTAGGGGGCGGCCCCCTTTTTCTCCCCACGCCTCGGCCATGAAAACAACGTTACATGTAAGCGTAAGGAGAAAAAAATGACCGCAGACTGAAAGAATCAAAACAGTCTCTGTGTGTGCGTGTGCGTGTGCGTTCGCATGCGCGTGAGCCTGTGTATGTGCGTGCGTGTGCGCGCGCGCGTGGGTGTGTGTTCGTGTTCGTGCGTGTACGTGCGTCTGTTTAAGCATTTTATCTCCGGCCTTTCGAGTGTACTGTATGGAATGAAGCCATTTTTTCACGTGATTTTCTCGAGTTACCTACTCATGTTGTGATGGGGACGTAGAACTTCTCGGGTAGCCATTGATGACCAGATACGTTTTAAAAACTGTGCTTTACAACTTACACTTTACAATTTAATTCGAATTTAGTATAAACTACACGACACGTGCCCGGGCATTTACGAAGAGAGAATAGAGGCTTACTACTCTAATGCTTTACAATTAATATTCGGAAATTTGTGTAATATATTCTTACCTTCAATTGAAACTCCATGAACTATCACATCGATGACTGTCCGTAATGAATAAATGATGTACTGAATGATGTACGGCTCCATGATGCACTGAAAACGACAAAAATGTATAATATATTAATCACAAGATTACAAACTCAACATTACCTGACATTATAAATAGATGTACAAGTAAAACATGAGATTGCACGGTTCCAAGTACACTTGACATCGTTAACAGATAATCGATAACAGTTGACTAATGACAGCACAAGAAGCACATGGTACAGTGGTGTAAATTAACAACGTCAAATACTTACAAAGATAATGGTGTTTTGTAAAATCCATCTATCCGTCACATCGTGAACCGATATACAGTAAACACCCGCATAAAAGAAACGGGTGATAGATACTCCATTGGGAGTGTTCCCAACTTTAATGTCATCAATGGTCATAATAACATATATATATATATGGTCATGGTCATATAATTATTAGTTTGTGGTTTAATGTCAGTTAGGTTAGGGTTAGGGTTAGGATTATCAATCATTAATCATTAATGATATCAAAGTTGGGAACACTCCTAATAAAGCGTTAGCCAAAGAAACTGCGGATTAAGAACCTCCAGGCTGAAATTGGACCAATAAAGCACCTAGTATATAAGAACCACTTCAGCCTGATAAATTAAGCAGGTTCTTATATGAAAAAAATACCGAAAATTAAGCTGTGTTATGTTACTGTA